AATTTTCGCTCCCGAAACGCCCTTTTTCGACTAAGTTCAGGACGTATTCGGCTTTAACTCTCTACCTATGGGTCTGAATTATATTTCGTCAGTTGTCACAAGTCCTATTTGTCATGGGGAAGCTGTCCGTGACTGTCACACGGTCATTCAGGGGTTGTTTAGAATTTTCGCCCCCTATACTCCCTTTTTCGACTAAGTTTAGGACGTATTCGGCTCTAACTCTCTACCTACGAGTTCGAATTATGTTCTGTCAGTTGTCACAAGTCCTATGTGAAGATTAAGAGTACACATATTTTAATTCTTCAATTGCATGATCTTAGCTTGTCCTCATGCTTAACAATAAAGAGATAGTACTGTTTAGTGAATACGTAAATCTAAGTTTGTATAAGTGCTAGTATGATATGAATAAAATTCTTCTTATCAAATACGACGATGACTGTCTAAACCCTCCAACAGTGTTGAGAGTCGTAAAACCATAGAGTTCAAATGATTAAGTTGTTTTTGTTGCGCTTTCCTTGCTTATTTTTTTTTTCCTTTTTCTATTTCTTTCATAAACTCCTCTCTCTCCCTCATCATCTCTTCACAATCTCTCTGGCACTCTTCCTTCTCCTTCATCAAATTTTCATGAAGAACCTCCATCTCAGATCACATTGCCTTCATTTGATTGTCACGAGATCATGATGCACTATTAAATGTCAAATAGGGTCGTGGGCCAATCCCAAATCCATGCAAGTAATTCTTTCTCTGTTCAAGCACTTGCCGTGAGAGTTCCTCCTCTGTCAATGGGATCCTCGCATCCGTGGTTGTCGCTTGTAGATTCACCATCGCATCCTGTCATTACCAAAAAAAATAGACTATTTAACAAAGGCACAAAGAATCACATTCAATTTTGTGCTAAGATATGAATTAATATTAAATACAATTGGCATAAAAAGTTTACTCCTTACATGTAGCTCATCACATTTGGGGTCAATCCATTCGTTTGTTTTCTTCGATTTGTGTGATTTGGAATAAAATTCTGGAAAATCCAACTCTTCGTTTTCATCTACCTGTTAGTTTCAAATAACAAAATTAATTCGTCACAATAGTAACCATGACTTCATCTTACATATATAAGTGATGAGAAATATGTTCCAAATGCATCTAGCTCACCATGAGTGACATTGCTATTGGAAAAGAGCGAGATCCACTGGTGTGATTGTATGGTAGCAAACTCCGGTTTGCTTTACCAACTTTAGAGTGTTTCTAAAAAAAAGGAATTATGAAAGAATTAGTACATATCAATGCATAATACACAAATAAAGCAATAGAGTCGTTTATATTTGTTTGTTACCAAATGAGATGCATCCTTCCAAGCCACATCAATAATGTGTTTCCAATCATCCAAGCAAAACTCCTGTTGGCGAATGACTATATGGGTCATCAACATCATTTTCTACAAGTTTTTCGAAGTGTTGCTTCAAGGTGTACCTCCGATCCTTGTACAAGAGATACGCCTTCATATTAACTATCTCTTGAGCTTGTTAATCAGTATGAAAATCCTCCCCAATTTCAAACTTGTCCTGCAAGCATAAGTGTGTGACGTATTATAGAAATTGAATGCAGCAATTGCAACTTTATGTAACAAAGACATTTAGTTTAGGGTCAGAAATTACTAGCACAGCTTGTACTACTGCATCTTTGATACTCTTATCAATTTTCTTCCATGACTTCACTCCCTTGAGAGGGCACAACTGCCATATCTGCAAGCCCAACTCATTTGTTGTAGGGGTGGCATTCCCTCATGTGAGTGCATTCAGCATGCGATTGACATAAACATGTAGTTTCTCCCCTTTTTTGCTCGCAATCATTTTTTGCACTCCTTTTTCGAGTGTAAGACCGCATACACGAATTGACGTACTTTTCCCTGCTCAAGAAGGGGCAACAAGTGTAAGGTCTTCAAATTGTAAATAGTGCCCCAAACATATAATTGACAATAATTAATATTAAATTTTTAATTTTATCAGCAAATTTTCTAGGAGATTATAATTTTTTTATATATGCAAGAAATTGTATTTCTAGATGAAGACAAATCATTTACTTAAGTTTAATGGTCTTACTTACGCCGTGTGCCTGTGTCTCTTCCACAAATGTTTGTGTGTCAGCTGGTGGTTGTGTCTCATCAGATAAAGTCTGTGGTATGACAATGACATGTGCAAATGTTCTTGAGGGTGATGCTATGGGGTTAGTTGCTATTTTCTTACGCCGCCCTATTTTCATCCCAAGAACCATGCTGGTACCTGCAAAATAGCTGCAAACATGATATATTAAGTAAAAACATCACATGCATCATCGATATTATGACCAATATGGATTGTTTACAGAAGCTAAAGTATTCACAAAATTACAACAAGACAACAATAGGAAAATAATTGATAATGATTGTCAAATAAAAGTGTTGTACATAAACTGATGTTAAGCATAAATGTCAAATGAGGAGATTCATCAATTTAAGAGGTTCAACATAGCGAAAAAGTTTACAATATAGCTAAACATGATGACATGAAGAACAACATAAACAAAAGGACTAAACTCTCATCTAATTACATAACATATAAAGAACAACAATCTCCTTCATCCATTTCTCCATTACATCAACAAAAGGACAAAAAGACAAAACAACAACTACCAAGAACACACGTCGAAATTTAGAACCCATACATCAAGACTCTATCACACATCTAAATTTAGAATCCATATATCAACATTCTATGTCCATATCTGTATCAAAATCATTGTCAAGCTCATTTTCTTCTTCATTGTCACCGTCTATTGTCAGTTCATTTTCATCATCACATATGAAGTCATCATCCATACCAACCTTGGGTTGTACACAGTTATCAGACTGCAAAACTTCCATTGGAATGATTTTAGCGGCAATGTCATCTCGACACAACACCATATCGTCATCCATAGGCTCGGTTGGTACAACATCAGTGCTTTTATCTTATTGGAACACATCATCAGGTTGTGGCATATCCACCTCGGGCACATCCCAAATTCTGCATTGTTGAAACTTTTCTACTACTCTCCAATTGGCATCTAACTTCGTATCATGCACGTAGAAAACTTGTTGCACTTGACTTGGTAGCACAAATGGGTCATCTTTATGCCATCGACTTCGTATATCAATAATACTGAAATGCGGTTCGACATGCAAAGTTCTGTTACTACCGGTGTTATACCATTCACATTGGAATAAAACAACACGGTGCCTAAATAAATATGTCATTTCCCAAACTTTACAAATGTAGGTGTAGAACTTTATGAATTGGTTTTCATGGTTCCCTTCCACTACCAATCCACTATTTTGAGTTTTACGATGATTGTCACGGTTGCGAGCATGGAATCGGACGCCATTACAAATGCATCCCGAATATGTGTTCACTAAGCTGTTAGGACCATTTGCCAGTGACCACATCTCATCGGTTGCTTCGGGTGACTTGTTGTGCCGCAATTGGTTCATCTACATAAGAAAAAACTGTCACGTTATTTTTGACATAACTTAAGTTGATGTGTAAACTACACTATAAGGAATTTTAGAATACGCGATCTTTGAACCATTTAGGAAATTCTTTGCATTGTATCTTGGCAATGTCACATGCACTTCCATGTTATTGTTGCAACAACATCTTGTGTTCCCTACGTAGGACAATGTAATTCATAAGTAATTTAAAGAATGATTACTAAAAAAAAAGCATATTGGTCACATATAGTATGTCACAGGTTCGACGTGTACTCTAGATATTCTTCCACTTCTAAGCTGTTGTGTAAGACAAACCAATGAGCCCTTTCACGGTCGGCTACAGATACATCAGTTTCCCTTGTTAGTAGACCAAACGAATGAACATTTTGAGTGAAAATCGCTAACCCCGGGCCATTGTCACCCCCGTCATAGTTCCGTTCTTCCCGATTAAACATCGTTTCAACACCGTCTAAATATATTGAACAAAACGTCGTACTCTTTTTTGAAATGTAAGCCTCCACAATGGAACCTTCTGGCCGAGCTTTATTGCGAACAAATCCTTTCAGAAGTCCGAGCACCCTACATGGCAATATGATTTGAATGTTAATGTTTACATTATCTACTATATGTAAATAGGGATGTTCGGGAACTCGTGGTATTACCTCTCAATGGGATACATCGATCGATATTGCATAGACCCTCCAAGCATAGCCTCGTGAGGCAAATAAATTGCCAAGTGGACCATGACATCAAAAAACGCAGGAGGAAAATTTTTCTCAAGCTTGCAAAGTATAAGTATGATTTGTTCCTCCATTTTCTCCAAATCAGTCACCCTCAATGTCTTTGAGCACAACTATTTGAAAAAATTTCCTAACTCAAAAAGTGTGGTCCCAATCTCCTTGGAAAGGTATCCACGCATCCTAATTGGAAGTAGTTGTTGTAGAAAGACATGACAGCCATGAGTTTTGAGGCCAACTAATTTTCCACCATGAGTGATGACACAGTTGGATATATTTGCTGCATAGCCATCAAGGTATTTAATCGATTTCAAAAAATCACAAAAACCTTGTCTTTCTACCGGGGACAGTGTGTACGATGCCAGAGGCTTCTCGACTGAGCCATTGGAACGCCTCTTCAAGTGTAACTCATTTCGTATCTGTATGTCTTCTAGATCTAAGCGTGCTTTATCCATGCCCTAGTTCTTGCCATCAATGCTTAGTCGTGTCCCAAGCAGATTGTCATATATATTCTTCTCTATGTGCATGACATCAAGGTTGTGTCGAAGCTTTAGCGTTTTCCAATAGGGTAGGTTGAACATAATGCTTCTTTTTGTCCAACTGGAAGGTGAATTTTTTGACCGTTGTCTTTTTCGGTTGTTTGGATGCTTGCCATACGACCTGTATGTCCCAGAATCAATTTGGTACAGTATTTGTTCTCCCGATAACTCCACAGGTTTGGACCGATGCTCATTTTGACCATTGAAGAGCTTACTTCTTCACCAAATATGGTTCTCGAGCAAGTGGCGACGGGCACCTATATATCCTATCTTACTTCGCAAATGCTGAGATGATGCATCCATGTTACAATTAAGGCAAGCCAAGTAACCTTTTGTAGTCCAACCAGACATGGTACCATATGCGGGGAAGTCATTGATAGTCCATATGATTGCTGCATACATTTTAAAAACTTGACCATTTACGGCATCATATGTTTGCACACCATGCTCCCACAAATTCATTAACTCCTCCACTAATGGTTGCAAGTAAACATCGATGTCTCTTCTAGGGGCGGATGGACCGGGAATAATCATTGACATCATCAGAAATGGCTCTTTCATATACTTCCACGGGAGAAGATTGTAAGGCATTAAGAGTACGGGCCACATGCTATATGATGTGCTTATATTTCTAAACAGATTGAAACCATCCGTGGCAAGCCCTAACCTTTCATGCCGGGGTTCCACAAAAAACGTAGGATGCTGTATATCAAAGTCCTTCCATGCTTGACCATCGGCTAAATGCCTTAACATTCCATCATCCACACGTTTCTATTTGTGCCATCTCATATTTGCGGTGGTTTTTTTCGACATGTACAATTTCTTTAACCTCGGTGTCAAAGGAAAATACCTCAATATTTTGTGAGGTATCTTTTTACCACTCACATTGTTGAATTTGTATCTAGACTCCTTACATGTAGGGCAAGTATCCAGTTTTGCATTGTCATTCCAAAACAAAATACAATCATTCTTGCATGTATGAATGACTTCATATCCCAAACCCAATTCACGTAAGAACTTTTTCGATTCATAAAGCATCCATGGAACAATTTCATCACACTTTGGGAGAATGTCATTGAAAACTTGCATAACAATATCGAAAGATTTGTTGCTCCATTTATTGTACACCTTAATATAAAGCATCTTAAAAACGAAGGACAACACAGAAAACTTTTCACACTCTGGGTACACTTTGCGTTGAGCATCATCAAACGACCTAATGAACTTTACTGAATTTTCTCTCTCCGAGCTATTAGGTTCGTCGTCGATATGATCATCCAGGAGACCACTCATGTAAATCTCTTCCAACATAGTAGGCAACTCACCCAAATTATCGTCAATGTCAAAAATTGCAGCTCCATCTCTTTCGCCAACATCGTTTGACACACTAGGTTGATCATGACGCAATGGAGCATGCTCCCCGTGGTGCACCCAAGTTCCATATGAACACGCGATTCCTCTTCGAATCAAGTGTAGCCATACAACTTGTCGACTATGTTTTGTGCCATTTAAGCAATCGACACATGAACAACGAATGTCATCGTGTGGGTCTAAATCCTTCGTTGCAAAGTCAATAAATAACTTAGCACCTTGTTGGTACTCTTTACTTTTCAACCTATCACTTATCATCATCCAACTCTTGTCCATCTTTGGAACCCTACAAGTCAAGCAAAGATTAACTAGGACTTTTGAGGATGGCCATAAAAGATGACAATTTGGGTGAAGTAGGAGTATAAGGAAAATACAAACAAAATTTATAAAAAAAAAAATCACACATAATAATGTATCTTATTTATATTATTTAATAAAAATTAAAATGTCTATCACTTTAGTGAATATTATAAAATAACATTATTTCACCAATTTTGCCTTTAATATCATTTTTGTTTTAATAATAGAGCATCAATCTCCTTGTATTGTCTTTTAAGTGCTAGATGAGACTTTTGCACTTTATTTTGGCAAAATTTATGAGAAGAATGATACAAGTCATGAGCAAATAATTGACCAAATAGCTGCACTTATTTATGATGTCTTCAACATGAACATATACTCATTACTAAAGCTGCATATGATTTTTTCCCTATTTCCCTATTTTGTAAGGCAGGAAGCTGCAGATGATATTTTTCCCTTTATTAAAATTGTTACTCTTAAAAATTTCATACTAAAAAGACAATAAGGTTTAAAGTTTGATATTTTTTTTTATCGTCCAAATACAAATTTTATTACATTGAATAGATAACTATTTCTTTGATTATCTTGATGGTATTGCCCATTACAAATTGACATAATCAAAACTCTTTTTAATTTTATTCTACAAGGTAATCACGAGTAAATAGTTCTTTAAGTATTATTTGTCATGCATATTAATCTATTTCGAGGGTTCCTCATAGTCTTGAATTGTTCGGCATGTTCCTCATACCTTAATCTATTTTCTCTAATCTTCTCTTTCATTGGTACCATTTGTAACTTGCACTGAATGTATTTTCAGTTCTATCTTTTCTTATAACCACCTCAGTATATAGCAATCCCTAAAAACAGGAATTTTACTTCTAGCTCAAACATCATCACATGTAGCAAAAAGTTGGATTTAGTAGTTCAATCTATTCAAAATATCTACGTCTATTAACTTAGTGCGAGAGTGAGAATACCAATTAAACACATAAACATGTGGACATATATACATGTAAACATCTAACAAACTAAATTACACTTGCAACTTTATGTCTTAGAAAAGAAGCATCAACACAAAGATGTTTTTAGATAACAATGACTCGAATGAAGTAGGCATGAAACATCTCTTTTAAAGGGCAAGAGGCAAACAAGTAGATGGTTATTCATGGCTTAATATGTAGAGAATCTATTTCAACATAAACAACTCTGATTCATGTTAACACAAAATAACCCAAAATCATCCAAGGAAAACAAACCAACATAAAAAAAAAAATCAAAATCGTAGCATAGTAAAAAAAACTTGAACTAAGATAAAGCATTAGGAAAAAAATTTTGATCGTAAATCCAAAAGGAAAAAACAAAAAAGCACAAAAAGTTGACAAATTTTCCGTAGTACTCGTGGTACCAACACTCAATTAACTAGCAAAATTGTCCATTGAAACTCTAGTCAATTTAGATAAATCTATTAGAAGTATAACTTCATTACCAGCACTTATACATAAATTGTTTAAAGAAATGCAATTATTAATTGTGATAATAAAATATAAATTAAACATGGTTAAAAACAAGATTGAAAACATTGTATGTTGTGTACAGTGTATACACACAAACAGAAAGGGAGAGAGGGGAGTTACACTTGGGCTATTGAGTTTTCTTTTCCTTGTTAAGAGGCAGTGGAAGCTTTCTTAGGATATTATCATCAATTGTCATGAACTGCGTCTGAATGATCTTATGAGCTACAATTAGCTTCTCGTCAATTTGATCCTAGTACTTCTCATAAAGCACAGGGACCGACAGACTAAGAAGAACCCCTATGGGAAAAACAAAATGATAATTAGATTGAATGAAAATATTCTATGGAAAGGCTTGTGCACTTATATACAGGGAAAGGCCACGAAGAAACTCACCAATATAGACCAAGGTAAGGAAGTTGAAGAAACTAACAATGTAAGAAATTATCCACAAGACCAATGCAACCTGAAGACCAAAGCTATATTACATTGGCACATTCAACTATTTATATGTCTCTGTCAAAACCATAACACAAAAATCAAACCCATAAAACAAAAATCAAACCCATTCTGGACATGAAGAATTTCATAATTTCATAGAAATCAAACACTTCAACCAATGAGCCCTTAACCGAAATCAATACAAAAATAAACTAAAAAAGCATATAAACCTTAGATGAAGTGTGAGAAATAGGGAAATAGGGAAAGGGGGAGAGAGAGAGAGGGAGGGAACTAGAGAGATGGCTTGATAAAGAGAGAGAAGCAGATCGTAACGCCCAGGAGAGGATCGAATAGACAGAGACAGAGACAAACTTGTGATTTGTGGCAGTGTTGGTGGTGATTTCGGCGTCGGTGGTGGTAGTGGCGATGTGCGACGGTGGGGACGGTGGTAGTGACAATCGGTGGTTAGCGGGTTTCTGGTTTTGTGGAGAGTGGTCTGTGTTTGTGAGACAGAATAGATACAAAAAAAATAAGTGTGAATAGGAGGGCCCTAATTCATAAGCTTCCCTCTAATTTTTTTTGGCCTACTTTTAGCGACCAAATTTTGTTTAGTCGGCAAAAATAGTCAATATTTGTCTAATTTGGCTACTAAGTATTCTTTTTGTCAGAAAACACTAACCATAAAACGACTAAACTTTAGTCACTGATAGTTTAGTAATTAAACCTATCTTTTGGAGACTAAACTTTTTTTTTGGTCGCCAAAAGGATATATACGTCGACTAAAATTATAATTAGTAGCCAAAAAATAGACAAATGCCTACTAAAACATTTTTAGTCGCCTATTTACATGAATTTTAGCGACTGGTTTTTTTTTTTAGTCACCAATAACTAATATATGGCTACTAAAAAATTTTAGTAGCTAAAATGCTAAATATTGGTGACCAATAGCAAGATTAGTCAGTAAATGTGTGACTTTTGGCATTTAAAAAGGTTTTAGTTGCCAAATTTGATCGCTGAAGGTGCAAATTGTTACAGTGTGTAGACACCCCATTTTTGACCGACCTTAAGACTCAGACGTCACCGATTGAGCGCTTGGTGATGTTGCATAATGTGCTTGTTCAGAAGTTTCAGAGTCGCGGCCGTGAGCCCTGACTCCGGACTTCCGAACCCTCTTCTGTGCTTTGCCTCGGTTTGCGAACCAGGCTCGGGTTTCTTTGTTTCTTTTCCTGAGGGAAGGGAGAGGTCCCGTAGACCATCTCTCAATGTCCGTAGGCTACATTTGGTGGCCGTAGGCGCATTTTGCCCATTTCGGAGTCCGGTTCCCGGTTTTTGGGACCGTTGGCCGTATGCCTCGGTTCGGGACCGCCTAACCATCTCCGTTTGCTCTGATTTTGGCATACATCTTATTTTCTCCCTTTTGAGGGACACTGGGGTCTGAGAAACCCACTTCGTGGCCGAACGCCACTTTCGGTGCTTGGCAGCCCATTTTCGGGACCCGAACTGCGTGTTTTGGTCCCGAGCATTCGTCTTGCAACGGTTTTCGTTCATTTTTGGCAGGTACCTCTGTTTTATCACCGGGGAGGTCACTGAAGGGTGGGAGGCCAGCAATTGTTGCAGCAACCAGTTATACATCCTCCGACGCCCTCCGCGCCCATTTTTTGCACTTCCGGGCTAATGTTGAACCCTTGGACCCTTTTTCTCGAACTTTGAACCACATATTTGTGATGTACACACATGAGAGGACCCTAAATTTCATGGCCGGCCATTATTCAACTTGACCCTTTTGACCCCCTCCTTCCGGGCTAATGTTGAACCCCTTGGACCCTTTTTCTCGAACTTTGAACCACATATTTGTGATGTACACACATGAGAGGACCCTAAAAGTTCATGGCGCCAGTAATTCACCTGACCCTTTGAACCCCTCTTTCCGAGCTAATGTTGAACCCCTTGGACCCACTTTCTTGGATTTTGAACCACAGGGTTGTGTTGTACACACATAGGAGGACCCTACCAGTTGGTGGCCGGCCAGAAAATCTGATTGACCCTTTTGACCCCTAGCCGGCCGCTAGGGGGTGTGGCCGGCCGGCCACCTGTAACAAAAGTCCAGGCCGGCCATATTCCTTGCACTGTGCACTTTACAGCTGTGGAGCTTTATCCCCCAGAAAAGATCTTTATCCGGGGGATATTTCTTGGGGGAAAGTTACTCTCCTTTTCCCCCACTTTACACCCCTTTTTACCCTTATAACCAGCTGGTGGCCTCCTTTGTTGGGGTTAGAAAACTTCATCTTCAAGCTTCCATATACAACTCCATTTCGATACCTCTCATTTCCTTGAAAAACCCTAAGTCCCTAACCATCATTTCTTCTACCCCACCAAGCTCTACCACCACCACTCATTTCCAGCAACAAGGAAGGTTTCTCAAGGCCAAAGAAGCTGCAAATTGATCCAAGAAGCAACAAAATTTTGAGTTTTCAAGGGTGAGTAACCTTTTCTTCACTTTGACCCTTTTTCTTGATCTATTTGTAAGCCCCACTTGCTTTTTGTTTCAAGCCCGCCCCAACTGAAAAGGCCCTCTTTTGAGCTCATCTTCACCTTTCATTAAGGGCTCAACCCTTTTGAGCCCTCCATGATACACTTGCTTCATTGATCCTCTTATATGTACAATCTTGCATGCTATTTTTGGCCCATGAGAATTTATTTTCGAGCATGTTGTAAACTGATATTAGGTCTTATTTTGAGCCTCTATTCAACATTGAAGAAGGTGCTCAACACCATTTGGGACTTCCATGTTATACCTACCTTATACTCCTCTTTTCTTCCCCTTTCTTGCATGCAATGGCAGCCTACATGCTTTTGTTTTGGCCGTTTTACAGTTCTAAAAAGGTGCTTATTTTGGTCCATTATTCATGTTTCATTTAGGTCCTTTCATGGTTTGGGCCTCCATAGGTCACTTCATGTTATATCCCTCTTTTATTCCCCATTCTTGCATGTTTAGTTAGCCTACCATGCTTTTGTTTTTGGCCA